AAGGGAAATTGCACTTTCAAACCTTATTATATTAAAAAAGTGTTAATCAGTAGTTTCAAGAAAATAGAAAATATGATCAGTAGAACAGACTAGATAAGGAAAATTTGGAAACAGTTGAGTTCTAACCCATTTAAAAATATAAATCCATAACAATATTTATAATTTAACACAGACTTCCAGAAAAACTAGAAAGTAGTTTGGCAGAAATTAGGTTTATGTCAACATCTGACACTGTATGCCATAGTGACCTGATTTCTAAAATATCCCACAGTGGCAGAATTTGAGTGAACTACAGTGATAGTTCAACTGACATATACGTGAAAGTTATCTGTACTGTAACATACTAAACACATGGTCATCTTGCACCTTGAGTCCCCTACTCTCTTTTCAGGAGTGTAATCATTATGAAGGTTTTCCTAACAAAATACTTAGGAAACTAATGAAATAGGAGGCCAGTAGCTACCCCTCAATATACTTGAAGTCAAAAACTGTGAGCAAACCATTCTTAAAAGAAGAACTGCAAATTAAATCTTTACTAGTGCAAAACCAGACAATTTTCAGGCTTTATATCACACTCAATAAATTAGTATTGTTATGATCAAAATTAGTGTAAACTAAGGCACAAAGTTCTGAGCATGTTCGATTTATTGGCAAGGATAGCATTTACCAATAAAGGGGGTCTTTAGCTCCTCAGCAAGCAAAAGGACTTCACATGAAGGCAGATGATCATAAAAAATAGACAAAAGGAGGAACATCCAAAGGCTGGAAGGCATAGGTGGGAAAACTATGATTGGCTGGAAATTCCTTGAAGGACAACCAGTGTTACAAAGATAACTGACCAGACTCCCTGGCAGTCACCTGCATTCTTCGAGAATAACAGATTTCCTTGATACAAGAATAGAACATCAGTTAGCAGGAAAACTGATCTTATAAACTTAAAATTAATTTAAAGGGGAAAGCTTAACTTCTGAATTTAACTAAGAGACAAACACAACTTAGGCAATATACAAAATGTTGGCAGTGATACAGATTAGAATCAATTTGATTTTCTTAGTAATGATGACAAAAGATAGGAATAGTAAGTGTTGGAGGAACTGTGGAAAGATATACCAATATACAATTGATGTTTTTATTTGTTAGTCCAATCATTCTAGAAAGCATTTTTGAATTAAGCTAAAGAAGTATCCGAGATGTTTATACTCTGAACCAGAGATCCTTGAAGTATTTTGTCAGTTGACTAGCTATAAGGCTGGTGGAGTCAAATAAGAATTTCATATATTTGTATCATTAACTTTCCCTGCCAGTCTTTAGGAGTTCATTCTCATTCAGTGATAATCAATAGTACACAATTTGCTATGTCTCTGATTGTCACAGTCAACATGACGGGGTGACAAAATAAAAATGATTGGGCTGGACAGGAAAAAAAAAAGCCCTTTCAACCCACCATCATAACTTGCTAATAAGTTTCATTAGGCTGAAAGCTTATGTGTGCCTGTGGGTATTTAGAGTTGTAGATCTTCTGATCCAGTGGGTTTTATAGATTGGGAAACAGATTGATAAGTGACATCTCATGTCTATTTATTGTTGGTGTCAGAACTAGAATCCTAATCTGCTTATTTGTGGTTAGTCTAATGGTCTTTCTGCATAGTAAAAATCGTAATAGTAGTCATAGTAAAAATAATCATTATTCATTAAGTGAGTGTCTTTCATGTACTTGCATTGTAGATGATGCAAAGAAGTGTGCGATTTGTTGGAGCTTAGTCTAGAATGAGGAAGTAACCTGAAATGACCTAAACAGCCACCGTGCGTGACTGAACCTCATGTAGAAAACAGTGGATTTTGATTCAAATTTAGTTCTGACAGTTAACTAGCTATGTGACCATAGGCAAATTACTTCACTTTTGAGCATCAGATTCCTGAAGCAAAATGGGGGGGTGCTTACTTACTTAACTTTAACAAACTGCATCCTGTGATGGTTTAGGGGAAAAGGACTTTGTAAGCCTTGCGACACCTTAAATGTGAGTTTTGTTTTTCTTTCTTTATGTAGAGTTTTAACCAGTGTGGTCATCAGGTTTTTAAGCTTACAGCAGAAGATTAGAAATGGGAAACTTAAGAGAGGAAGGCTGTTATAGATAGGCACATTATGTTGACAGCATTTTAGATGGAATGATGAAAAAAAAAAAGAAGACAGTAAAATTATAAAAACTGATCACAAGAACTACTATGAAATAAACCAGTACAAACAGCTTAAACACATAGACTTTAAAAGGTGTTTTTGGTTCTAGACAGATACGTGTATTGTTGTATTGTATGTAAGGGTGGTATTCACAATAATGATCCTAAGTCACTAAAAAATTCTATCTAGTTTGTCTAGTACATAGGTTTCCAAAGTGGGTGATACTTCTCTTGTGGGGGGGGTGGGGCACCACTGGAACAAACTAGGGGGGCTGTAAGTAGCCTTGGGTGTAATTAGAGGGTGTTGAATAAAAATAAGGGGGTGGTGGAAGCATAAGGAAAGAAGAGAAGATAAGAAAATTTGGAAAACCATTCACACTTGTTTCATCTGTCGTGTAACAGAGTTAAAGTTGTAGTGATTATGTTATTTTCAAAATAAACTCACAAAATGCAAGTTATAACCAATCAATAGTCAAATCTGCTGACGGGTCTTAATAAGCGAGTATTGGCAAGTAAGCGTATCAAGCATGCATCAGTAGGAATATGTGTGTGTAATAACTTGTTTACAATATGATATATGGTTACATGGTACAATATTGCATCCTCAAAAAATCACAAATTTACATTTAAATTTAAAAAGCATCAAATATATATATATATATTGAAATGATGCAAATTTTAAAAAACCCCATTGTTTTATAGAAAGTAGATTTCTAGGGGAGCGCTGAGTAATTAATAACCTCTGATCTAGTGTCTTACCAATGAGTATACTCCCTTCAGCAGTACCAATCTCAGCCCATCCACATCCTCTCAGAAATGCCCCCTACTTTGGAATCCATTACTCTTCTTACCAGCACTTATTCCCCTGTCAAACATCAGATGTGAATCACTTCTACCTTTTACCTCCTCACATGCTGTTGAACAGAGTTAGAGAAAGTTACCCAACTGTGCTAGCTGTGTATGTTATGCATTCAGATTATCCAGCTTCAACTAGGGAAGGCCTCACTACAGCAAGTCAATCATGTTATTTCTCTCTAATTGTTTCCCTAACTCACTTCCTTTGGAAGCTATTCCAGACCTTTTCTTTTATCCTCAAGCCTCCACACCTTAATTGAGGACTTCATCAGACTTTCTAGTTTTAGAACCCTTTGCACTCTTAAAAATTGAGGACCCTACTTAAAAGATCTTATATTTGTCAGTTATATCTAAATATAGATGTGTTTACTATATTAAAAATTAAAATGTTTTAGTATTATTATAAAAAGGTTTTGACCTCAAAGACCTCCCGAGAGATTCTCAGGAACCAATCATAGTCCCTAGGCTACTCTTTGAGATCTGCTGCACCATATTATCTTGTTTAGTGATCTCATCAGCTTCTAACTAGTAAATTTATCATCTATATGCAGATGACTCACAGATCTCTATATCCAGTCCCAGTTCCTTGTCTGAACTTCATTCTCATATTCTTAACTGCCTGTTGGATATTTCAAACTGGTGTCCCTAATAAAATTCATTATCCTTCTCCTCCAAGCTTACCCTGCTTTCAAACTAATGTGTTTCTGTTGAATGCACCAGAATTCTTTTAGCATTTCCCCAGTTTATGACCTTGGTGTTATCTGTGACTTCTTACTCTCCATTAATATTGCATTTTTTACTCCCTCAGTATTTTTCACATCTGATCTCTCTATTTAAAGAACTGCTGCCTTAGTTCAGGCTCTCTTCACCTCTTGACTAGACTATTATAACGACCTCCTAATTAGCCTTCTTGCCTCCCGTCTCTGCTTTTGAGTTCATCATCCACAAAGTTGTCAAAGTGCTTTTCCTTAAGTGTATATTTCTTTATGCCTCTTTCCTACCTATTAAACTCCAATGGCTCTCTTTTGCCTCTAGGATAAAATATAAATTGATTTTTTTAGTTTTTACAGCCCTTTACTTCCTGTCCCCAAACTGTCTTTTCCATCATCGTTACATATTACTCCCTGCTCTGTACACTCAGAGATCCATTCATAATGGCCTTCTCTCTGTTCTCCACACATGACACTCCATCTTTCTTTTCATTGCCTCTGTACTGGCCATGCCCTATCCTTGGAATGTACCGCCTTTGACTTGTGCCTCACAGAATCTCCCATCCCCACCTTCTCACCAAAAACAGACAAACAAAAAATCCCGAAAGTGTTTTTTGTCTCTAACTACCTTGTATTCATTTGCATTTATTTTCTTTATATTTCTTACATGTATATTTATGTGTGTACATGTTGTCTCCCCATTAAAATGTCAACTCCTTAATTATAGGGATTGTTTTGGTTAATTTGATCAGTCATTGAATTAGAGTGTGTGTGGGTGTGAGAGAGAGATTGATTCACAACGGTGTCATCTTTATCCTTTCGTATTCATTCACCAGTTGCAAAGTCTTGCTATTTCTTTTTTTCCGCAACAGCTCTTGTATCCCTCCCATTTTCTTTACTTCTGCTTGGAGATGGAGATGTATGGCAAAGAATTGGGGGAGGATTTGGGCAGAAAAAAAGGAGGGACCTTAAGGGAAAGAATATCCTTAATATTTAAAAGCATTTCCACTGAAGTAAACTCTTTCATGTTTCATATAAGTACATTTTTGGATCCTAAGTAAGATTTACATGGCATAGCAATTCTTTCTGTGTAAGGCTTTCATAATTATGAAATTTACTGTCAACATCCAGAGAACTAATTGATTTTGAACCCCAGTAGAGGGAAATGTTAGCATCACCAATAGAATTTCACCATCTCTTGTCTTTTACTCCTTGCAAAATTATAATGATGCCATAAATATGTTTTGTTTTGCATTCTAGTAATCATCTGGGGAAGAGTCTGCAATTGTTGATGGACAGAGTGGATGAAATGAGTCAAGATATTGTTAAATATAACACCTATATGAGAAACACCAGTAAGCAGCAGCAACAGAAACATCAGGTAGATATTGTGGAGAGATTTAACAAAGACTAACAAGTATTTTTGGAATATTCTATTTCATGATGTTGCATTCATTAAAACTTACATTTTCTTTGGGGAAGCATTGAATGTGAACTGATGGCTATTAAAAGTTTATAAGGCTTGCTTGTGTATGGGCATTTTCTTTAATGTTATATTTTTAATCAGTTGTTAATAGTGATTGTTCCCTTTAAAAGAGATGGTAACATCAACTGGCTTACTTGGCTGAGATTTCACTGCCAAGGTTATGCAAATAACAGGGATGCATTTACTTGGAAAAGAGTTCCCAGAGTTTCACACCTCATTTCATTACTAACTATAATTGTTTTAGTAGTGGCTCATAGCAGCATAGTTAGCAAGTCTTTACTTCATTTAAAAAAATGAGCAATTGTGTTTAAGAACAAGCAATTTTGTTAGGAAATAATAAGCCAACCACTGTGAAGTGGAAGATATACTGCAAAGAGGGAGGGAGAAAATTACCTGAATATTTTCTTATACACATATACATAGAAAGGATATTTAACTTTTACTTTAGCAGTATCACCTGAAGGCCACACATACTTTTTACATTTACTGGAAAATTGTTTTGTACTACATTGCTGTAAAATGTTCTAAGCATTTGATTCCTAGATAAGATGATTCACGTCAGCTTGTGTCTTTGAAAGATAGTGTATCTTTGACTACTAGACCTTCACAAAGTATTTTAAACTGAGTTATATTTGCATTTTTTTAAGCAATTCCACTCATCCCCACTCCCTCCATATTAAGGTAGTTTTTTCTCATTTTATTTTTTGATAAATCAGGTTTTACTAATTCCAGATGTATTTCCCCCTATTTAAACATTTTTAGAAATGATGGTTACATTCTCAGTCCAGGCCATACATGTCCATAATATGCCTCAAATACAGTATGTCTCTAACTGAGGGTGGGGCTCCTTATCTTAAGGTAAGGAATAGGGATTATAACAGAGGGAGTACTGGTCACACCAAGGTGCCTGACATAAATATTTCTAGGCCCTAAAAATTGGGCCATTTCTATTGCTTCCTCTATCTCTTGTTGCAGCTGACCATTGTAATATCTCACTTCTTGGCTTATGCAGAATAAGTTATGTACACAGTACTTTTGAGGTCTTCTAAAGGTGTCCTGTCCCCCATCTGTATTTCAGAGAACATTCTCAGGCTTTCCTAGACTTCATAGTCATTGAGGTTAGATTCAGAAGTTTTTAGGATGAAGACTAGGACTAGACTTGTGGAAGTTGTGGGATTGGTATTATGAAGAATGAGACTATACCCTTTGACCCTTTGATCCAGAGAGCCTACTTCTAGGCCTATAACCCAAGAAGGCCATCCACCAAAACACATGCGTATGTTTGCGCAATCTACTTTGGAAACAAAGTAGATAGATGTCTATTGAATGGGGACTGGCTAAATAAATTGTGGTACATAAATAAAGTAAATATTAATGTGCCTTAGGAAACAATGGACATAATAAATACATAGAATGTAGAATACGTAGATAGATTTACGTGAACTGATGCAAAGTGAAGTAAGAAGACTCGGGAAAACAGTATACTCAATGACTTGAACCACCACAATCAATTGAAACTGAATAGTACAAAATTATAAAGAGCAAGCTTGGTCCTAAAGAAGAGATATAAAATTCTCTTCTCCCTTAGAGACACACTTCCACCCCCCAACACATACTCCTTTATAGTGATGGGAGTTTCTCAGGTGTGAGACACTATATATAGTGTTGGATTTTGGAGGAATGCATTAATTGATTTTTGCCCATTTTTTTCTCTAAAAATATTCTTTGTTATAAGGGATGAGTCTTTGGGTGGGCAGAGGGAGAGATATGGGGAAATGTAGGCCACATAGAAGCAAAATATATCAATGAAGATCTTATGTAAAGGGAGAATGGAATAAGTAATTGAGGTAGGAGAATAAACAGTAGTGGTGGCAATGTTAAGGTAGCAGGAGGTATAGGAGGGTTACTTTCTTCCCTTACCTCCTGGCCATTCTACTCTAGATTGGCCCTGGTTTAAGGTACATTTTGGAGGAGGCCAATAGGGGAGCAGAATTGGTCACAAGGAAAATGAGAGGAAGGGGAAAATCTCTAGTAATAACACTGGAAGGGAAGGCCTATATTTCTAGGTGGGCAGTGTATAAATTGGGGGTCTATCTGCAATACTTTTTTATGAACAGTTATAAAACTGAAATTTTTTTTTATGTGGACATCTTTGTTGGTATAGTGCTTAACCAAAATATTGTTGAATCTGTACTTAATTTAAATTGTTCCCGTATATTCACTGAAAGGTAAATTTAATCATTTTACCAGAACTTCCAACAAAGTAGGAGAAAAGAAGGTGAATTTGAACTTCCTTTCTCCTGGAGATCCTTTTGAAGTGTCAAGAAGGCAGTGAAATGATTAATAAATGTGTCCAAATTCTCAAGTTCCAAGAGTTTATTAATATATTTTCTATATCTTCTTACTAGTTCTGTAAGTCAGCCTTGAATATAGTTTTCATAAATGATCTGTGTGTTCAACATTTGGTGCTTGATTTTAAACCACGTTTACCAGGAGCATCCAAGCCTTCTGACCTCTTGCTTTTCCTTTCTGTAATGTAATGTAACTTTGTCAGCCTGTGCTTGAGGGAATTGATCCTCTTGTTTTTGATAAATGTCAGAGTACTACCTGATTTTAGTCATTAGTGGCTATCCATTTTTTCTTCAAGAATTTGCGATTTTATTGGTATATTTCTTCCACATATTGAGGTTACAATGCTTCCGTGCTTTAGTAAATAGTCTTTATGAATTGTTGTGTTAAAAATGGATTACCCTGCTAGGACCCTCATTAACAAGTGAGTCTGAATTTAGGCTGTTTCTTGAAACGGCTTACAGTATCTATCACTGGACCCTTTCTCTAGGCTTAGTGGCCAATTTGGTAGATGCTTCCAGAGCTTAGAGTTTTTGAGAACACAGATCATCTGTATGCTTCAGTGGATGGTTTTATTCCTCAAGCAATATCAAAGATTGTTGAAATGGCTCCAGATTTTGTGAATTGACAATAAGCTGATATTTAAAAGATTGTCAAAATTTCTTTCCTTGATTGTTTTAAGTAATCTTCAGTCTTTCAGAAGTTGTTTTCTGGCTTGTGATTAGGCTATTCTTGCATATTCTTCTTGGTTCATCATAAAATCATAGACAACAATATATTCAAAAAACTTCAAGAGGTCTAGTTACCTGGTTCAGGCAAATCTAAGTTCACCCAGGATAAATGGTTTTCTATCCACTTTCTTTGGGTCTTTGGGAATAATCATAACTTATCAGGTAGTTCTTAAGTACTGAAGTTGTCAGACATTTTTTTCCCTTTTTAAATAGGTAGTGTATTTGCCCCATTTCAATATCAAACCTCTTGCCTCTTTTAAAAAAAGTCTGATTATATTTTATACAAAAATGACTACATAATATGGTAATTGAGGTTTTTTTCCTCCATTTTTCATTTTGGGCATAAATTTTTCTGCTTTTTCCAACTAGTCATAACTCAGCCTCTTTATGACCAGAACAGTCTTAGAGATCATGTAGTCTAACACAAATATATGTCCTTTTGACCTAATGCTATTACTGTCATTTTCTATTAAAATGATTTAGTTTTTATGCTGTACTTTATACTGACAAAATTCTTTGAAATACTTTTCAGCTGTTCAGGAGCACCTGTCAGGTGAAGGGGTATTTTTTTTCATGTTTTTACAATTTTACCAGGGTCATGTAGTCAGTATAGAACTAGGATTAGAATTGAAAGCCTTAAAATGATTAAGAAAGTGGGGGAGGGAATGTGGTAGGTTAGTGGGGGGGGGGGAGCCATCCAGAGCTTTCCAGAATCATTGCCAGTTGCATAAATCATGGAGACTAATTTTTCTCAAGCTAGTGGCTAATTTGACTGATAATGCAAACATGGTTTTCCTCTCACTTCCAGTATCAGCAGCGCCGTCAGCAGGAGAATCTCCAGCGCCAGAGCAGAGGAGAACCTCCCCTCCCTGAAGAGGACATGTCTAAACTCTTCAAACCTCCTCAGCCACCTGCTAGGATGGATTCACTCCTTATTGCAGGTATTTTCTCTTTCCTGGTGTTAACCATTTTGCAGTTCCTCACTTCCACTGATAGAAAATATAAGAAAAGGAAAATGGAGAAAGGAAAAAAAAAACATAAATTGGTTGAGGAGAAATGAAAAATAATTAAGGATATGTGGTGATGAATTACCTTCCAGTGTACTAATGCTTTAACTCTGGATAAATAATAGTTTAATGGGTCTTTTTAAAAATAAAAATAATAATAATAAATCAAATTTATTCCTTTCTCTGGAGTCCCAGAATTCTTTTAAGGTGAAATGGTTTTATTTCAGCTGTACATATCAATCCTTTCAATAATGCTTTCTCAGAATACATCTAAACTTAAACATTTTAAATAAGGCATCATTGCATTTTTAGATTCTTTACAATTTCGTGGTTTTATGTGAGGCCTCTTTCAAATTTAGCAAGAAAACAATTATACTCTAATAAGAAACATGTTTATACTCTTTTTCCTTTTAAGCGTGTGGCAATAAGTACCATTCTCTTAATGTGGACTTAAATTTGGGCTAAAGAATATAATTCTTGACTGGTTTGCCTAAACTCTTTCAACCTTTAAATAATGGGATATAATCTTGATCTATTAATATTATTAATGTAAAATAAATCACGATTTTTACTTTATTATAATGAATTCATAAAAATGTGATTAGCATGTGGTTTGAGTCTGTATGTCTTTTGTCTGTGGGAAATTCATAATACCCACAGAAAGTACTTTCAGAATTTCCATTCAAATGACATAGCACTGTATTTCGTAGTGTGTAAAAGATGCAAAAGTCATAAAATAATCTTGTATATAATAGCTCACAAATTGAGTATAAGTCTTATAAATTGATTACCATGTGGTTTAGATACAAATAGTGTTTCTAGTGAATTCTAGAAATAAAAATAAGCTGTGGGATTATATACTTAAGAAAGACTGGAATTTTTGTCATGTGGTCATTATATTTATGTGAAGTCTTAGTAAGTCAATTCTTGGACCAAAATGGACAAGTGCCATTTGTCCATTAGGCTTAGAATGGTCCCAACTATATTCCTGAATAGTCAGCAAACTTTGATTGATGATATTAAAGTTTACTCGTTGTTAACAACTTTCTTAGCAGTATTTTCTCTTTCCTTTGGTAACACTATATAGTAGAAGTATTTTGACTAAAAATTGAATTTGTTTTTAAAAGAAGTCTTATATTTAGCCTTGATGTCAGGAACAACAATTAGAGTTGTAAAAAAGTAGAATGATCTACTTTTAGATATGTCATGAACTTTCTTCTTGGGGGTTTTCAAGCAGAAGCTTAGATAGTTGAATGTGTGATCTTGGGGATTCTTTTATTGTATTATTTGAACTAGCTGGTTGCCAAGGTCCTTTCCAACTCTCAAATTCTGTGACTGATATTCTTCTTTTGTACCATTAAAAAAATAGAATATTTTGTTATAAGCATCATAATTGATGAAAATGGTTCTTTCATTGTAATTTTCTTATTGTAGTAGGTGTTTATTTCCTTCACTTCATATAGCTCATGGCATTTTTATTTCCTTCATTGATAGGCCAAATTAACACTTACTGCCAAAACATCAAAGAGTTCACTGCACAGAACTTGGGCAAACTCTTCATGGCTCAGGCTCTCCAAGAATACAACAACTAGAAAGAGGAAACCCGTGACTTCTGGTTTGCTTCCAGATAAGGTGTTGATTGATACTTACTCTGACATCACCTGCGGATAGCTCTTCCAAGGAATAGAATTTTCTTAATGAAAATGACAGTACTCATTTAATATAATGGACTCATTTTGGCAGTAAAATTGTTCTTGTGAAAAAATAAAATTTGTTTTTAATATTCTTGCTGTTTCCTGATTTGGTCCTTAGTCTGATCTGCAACTGAGTTGCTCCTTGTGTCTTACATGCACACACAAAACACTGAAGAGTTTCCCCCGATCTCTGGCCTTATACCCTGAGCTCACATCTTAATCTCAAAGTGCTGTGTCACAACACTTCAACTTTGTTAGCCCCAAACCTGACCATCGAGCATTTCCCTTAATGTTACAGGCTTTGCATTAAAAGGCTTGTCCTGTAATTCATGGTGAGGCTCCCCAACCCCAAATCTCCTAACCCCCAAAACAGACCCCATAATTCTAATTCAGTGAACCTTAAGGTTGTTGGTTGGTCAACAACGAAAGCTCAAGGAATTACATACCACGTTGTCCTTACAGGAATTTCAAGAGCTCATAGATAGTGAAATAAATGTTCAGTACTGTATTTTCTGAACTTTTGGGGATAGTGGACTTGGAATTGTTGTGTGGTGCTTGACTGATAGGTACCCTGACATATCAACCCCAAAATGAAAGTAGTGATAGTAATTTTACCAAACTTTTACATGTGGCATTAAATCTTTTTTCCTTTTAAGGTCAGATCGGAAATTAGCCCATAGGCTGTACTATACTCAGACGCCTGTAATAGTAATAAATGTGTACCTTTTTAGTGAAAGATTTCAATGGTTTTGAATAGCAAAGGTCTATTACAGGATCATAGATCTGCTAGAAGAGAGAAGATCTGCTAGAAGAGTCCTTAGAGGTTTTGTAGTCCAGAGGCTATCATTTTGTTGATGTGGAAACTGGGCCAAAGTCACCAAGTAGAATTGGTAGATTTGACCATTCTTTTAGACTCCAAATCAAGCATTCTTTACATTGTATTTTATTTATAAAAACTATAAAAATGAAATCTCAAAACAGTGTCTAGTATAAACATTTTCTTGTGTTCAAAATTGAAGTGACTGATACTCTAAAGACAATTTTATTAATACATGGTTCATCTACAAATATTTTCAGTTTCTTCAGGTCAATCAAAACCAAAAAAAATACCAATTCTAATAAATCATTTTACCCAAAGTTTAAAAATAGTATGTTAAACTAGGGAGGTGCATGAGTCTGAGGAAAACCCCTTGATAGTTACTTAAACAAAAGGGCACTGTATTGCAACTTTATATTGCGTAGGTAAGGCTGATAAAAAGAGATGAAATGTTAAACTAGATTATTTTTGTTTTGTTTGTTTGTTTTTGGCGAGGCAGTCAGGACTTAAGCAGCTTGCCTAGGATCACAGAGCTAGTAAGTGTCAAGTATGTGAGGCTGGATTTGAATTCAGGTCCTCCTGACTCCAGTGAGGGTGTTCTATCCATTGCACCACCTAGCTGCCCCCTAAACCAGATTCTTAAATAAGAATATTTCAGGGATTCTTTGCAACACCTCAGCACTGCTTAAAATATCACAACAAAGTTGGTATAAACTGATCACTGTTCTTTTCTTTGAAAACTTTGAAACTGGTATGTAGTTGCCAAATATTAGTTGGGTATTGAATCATGGAATAAACACTGAGCTTTTGCATTCAGATATTTATTTCGCTTCAAATTCTGTTTTCTCCCTCTCCCTTTGGAAAAAAAAAGAAAAAAAATGCTTGTAATGTACATAGTTAAACAAAACAAAATACTACATTAACAGTGGCCCAAAAAATGTCTCATTAGGAGTCCTCTGCCAGAAGCTCTGAGAAAATATTAATAGCAAACTTTATATATGGGACCCAAAGATCTTCTTTTTGATTATTAATAACAATTATTAGTAAGTTAATAGAATTTTTTTTTCTCTTTTTACTTTTTCATCCAAAGCCCAGTCCTTGTGGAGGACCAGGCTGACCGATTGAGACATTCTTCTTAATCCTGGGTGGAACCCCACCCAACTGGAAGAGTTTATTTCTGATTAAAGGGTAAACAGAATCTAATCTAGATGAATTCTGGCCCATTGGTTCTACCACTTAAGTGATCTGGGTGGAGATGGATCCCTTTGTCCAGATTGCAGGAGGCAGCTGAGTCTCATCAAACCACTTCTTCCGAGAGGAGCTGAAGACTTTTTGCCCACCTCTCATTAATTGTTAAACAATCAGTTGATTTTCACCCCCAGGACACTCCATTTTTCCAAAGGTTTTTCCAAATATTCAACGACCTCCATGTGCGGTCTTTGGTTACACCAGAGAAACCACTGACCCAACGTATTGATTATTTGCTAGCCTAATCAATAAATTGGCTAATAATTCTCTTGGGATTTTCATTTTCTCCTCTCAGTTATATGTAGCATGTTTCACCTGGAATCCTAGTTGGCCATTGTACTGCTCAGATTTATATTATTTAATTTAACAAAAATGTATAACAAATATGCATACTCAAAGCAATTTACCACATTAGTCATTTTTAAAAAAAGATATTCCACTTCAGGATTCCATTACCATTCTATCATCATTGTTCTGGAATAATGGTTAGTTGTTTCATTGATCAAAGTTCTTACGTCTTTTAAAGTTGTTTGTCTTTGAAATGTGATTATTATCATATAAATTGTTCTTCTGGTTCATCAGTTCATTTAAGTCTTCCCAGGTTTTTCTGAAGCCATCCCTTTCATCATTTTTTTACAGGAACAATAGTATTCCATTACAATTACATACCATAATTTCTTCAACCTCTTCCTAATTAATCAGCATGCTTTTAGTTTCCAGTTATTTGCTACTCCAAAAAGATCTGCTATAAATATTTCTGTACATATGGATTCCTTTTCCTCTTTGATCCCTGGGTTATTCTTTTTAGTGCTATAATTGGGTCAAGGATATGCACAGTTTAGTAACTTGCTTTTCCAAAACGGCTGGACCAATTTACGGGTTTACCAGTAGTGCATGTTAATGCCTATTTTCCCACAGGTCCTCCCACATTTGTCAGTTTTTTGGTCAACTTTACCAATCTGATGGTTTTGTAAAGTAATCTCAGAGTTGCTTTAGTTTACATTTCCTTAATTATTAGTGGTTTAGAACATTTTTTTCTTTATGTCTGTTGATAGATTAGATTTCCCTTAAAGTGTCTTGGTACCATGCTTTTTCATAAGCCCATTTTAGTTTTGACTTTTGAATCACACTGACATTAGTTCTTTGGTACAGGGAGCATAATTAAGGGACTTTCCCAAAGGTCACACAGGTAGCAACCATTAGAGAAGAGACTCAACTCAGAAACCTTAACTTCTGAGCCAGGGCTTTTTCCATCGGACCCAACTGACTTAGGTTATTTAGAGCAGTGAGAGTGTGTCGAAATTGTGTTTCAAACTGGTGGGTAAATGGCATTATATGAATAACTTAAAGAGACAAGCACATTCCTAGCTGGAGTCTGCATGTGGAAGAAGTCAAAAGTTGCAGACAAAACTTTTCCAGAACACTCTAGGAAGGATTTAGTCATGTATTGTGCTGCCTTAACTAACAGGTGAGAGAAAATTGTCCCGAATAAATGTTCTGTCTTCCCTTCTTATTCCCTCTCCCGCTTTGTTGATCAGTCATTGGACTCTTTGTGACCCCATTTGGGGCTTTCTTGACAAAGATACTGGAGTAGTTTGCTATTTCCTTCTCCAGCTCATTTACAGATGAGGAAAGTGAGGCAAACAGGATTACGTGACTTGCCCAAGTTCACACAACTAAGAAATATTCAAGGCTTCCTGACTGCAGGCCCAGCACTCTATCCACTGTGCCACAGCATCTTTGTTTAAGAAACTACTAGGAGGCCAGTGTCACCAGACTGTAAGTGGAGGGGAGTAAGGAAGATTGGAAAGGTAGGAAGGGGCCAGGTTATGAAGGATTTTATATGTGATCTTGGAGGTAATAGGAAGCCACTGGAAATTATTGAATAGGTAGGCAGGTGTACCATGGACAGGTCTGCACTTTAGGAACGTCAGTGTGACAGCTGAGTGGAGGATGGACTGGAGTGGGGAAAGATGAGGCAGGGAGACCAACCTCCTAGCTATTGTAATAAGTCAGCCTTCTCGTGATGACAGTCATCATTATGGTGTTGCCTGTTTTAGAGGAAAGTGGGGGACATACAGGACCAATATGGAAAGGTAGAGTTGATAGAACTTAGCAACAGATTGGATATGGTGGGTGAGAGAGAGTGAAGAGTTAAGGATAACACCAAGTTTTGAGCCTAGATGATGGAGGGTGCCTAGGGAAGTTAGGAAGGTTGGAAGCTTTTGGGCAAAAGACAATGAGTTTGGTTTTGGACATGCTGAATTTATTTTTTTATTTTTTTTTTCTTACATGTGCAATTATGTAAAAGTTCCATATTAGTGGCTTTGTACAGGAAGACTCGAAAGAAAGTGAAAAATAGCAAGCTTCAGTCTATATTCAGTCAATGTCAGTTCTTTCTCTAGAGTCAGATAATATGCTTCATCATTAGCCCTTTGGGATTGTCTTGGATCAATGGCTGTGTCATTCACAGTTCTTCATCAAACAACTGCTGTTCCTGTGTACAATGTTCTCCCGGTTCTGTTTACTTCACTATGCACCAGTTCATATTAAGTCTTTACAGGTTTTTCTGAAATCATTCTGCTTGTCATTCCTTACAGCACAATAATATTCCATTACAATCATATGCCACAGCTTGTTTAGCCATTGCCCAGTTGATAGGCATCCCTTTGACCTCCAATTCCCAGACATCACAAAAAGAGCTGCTATAAATATTTTTGTACAAATAGATCCTTTTCCCTTTTTTGGATGTCTTTTGGATATAGGCCTAGCAGTGCTATTGCTGGATCAAAGGATATGCATATGTACAGTTTTATAGCCCTTTGGGCATAGTTCCAAATTGTTCTCCAGAACGGTTGGATCAGTTCACAACTCTACCAATGATGCATTAGTTTCCCAGTTTTCCCACATCCCCTCCAACATCCAATATTTTCCTTATTTGTCATATTAGCCGCTCTGATAGGTGTGAGGTGGTACCTCAGAGTTGTTTTAATTTGCATTTCTCTAATCAATAGTGATTTAGAGCAT